AAAAAAATTTAATTTTGTGTTCCGTCTGATGGTAATTGAACCCGGACGCTCTTGGTACCAATTGTATCAAGCGTCTTTGCACACTCAGCCATACATGTAAATGTGTTTTCGAATGTTGAGTTTGAACACAGAATAAACAGTATACAGAAGACGCATGTCGACTATCCAACCAATTTGAATTTATGGCACGAGCGGTGAGGCAAGCAAGGGTATCACAAGCGGCGCTGCCTTTGTTACTTTAGCAGTATTTTCACTCGGCTGACGATGTTAATTCCATCGTCGCTATGACGACAAGATGTTAACTACGTTTTCCATCACGATCAGCGTTGCCGTTTTGGTACAATTGTATATTTTTTAATACTGTTTTTCTAAATTTTAATATCTGATCCTTTTTTGTTCCCAAATGCCGTATTTTGATACTTTCGGCTGGCAGAAATGAATTTTCGAAAACTATGAATAGTACTACTAGTCTAAAGGCTAATATTTTTTTATTGTTATTTGAAGTCTCACAATTTATATATAGATATTTATAAGTTGATTGGGTAACTCTTATAACTGTTATAGGACCCCTAAACCACACAAAAACATTACGAAATATCGAAAAAAATATATTTTTTTGAATTTAGTTTTTTTTTTACGTTTTAAAGATGAAGCTATCAATATATCTGTGTTCGTATGGAAAAGTAGCTTATGTCGAAAGGCTGACTTTAATATAAATCGGCATTTGCAGTATACGATTGCGAATGACTCGCTGGCGCTGAGCCGTTGAACAACTTTTGGCAAATAAACGTGCAAGAAATAGTTCCGATACTAGAAAGTCAATATTCTTATTAAGGCTCATCAAAAAATTCCTTGTCGTTTAAAGAATAAAAGGAAGGCCGCATTATACTAAAGCCAACCTTTCGACATAAGCTACTTTTCCATACGAACACAGATATACAACGCACATTCATATTTCTTGCACATATTTACTTGAGCAACGTTTCTTCAAAATAAGGTTTGCGCAATTTTATGCTGTAGTAAATTCCACAATATTGACTTGTACAAGTCTCGGGTTGCGCAAGGATTTTGTGTGGTTTAGGGGCCCTATAAGTTTGTTTTTCATTATGCAAATAAGCAGACAAAAGCAAGATATATAATTTTTTTTATAACTATGGATTTAATTATAAAATTTTATTTATTATTTGTTTTTTAAATAATAGTTTAATAAACAACAGTTTTGTTTGCTTTTGATACTTTTTCTGCTTGGCAACTGATACATTTTTTTCCAGCTGGCGGCAACGCTGATCACGATGTGTGTTTATGGCGAGATGTTAACTTCATGTTATTCATAGTGGACGTGATGTTAACTCCTCTGCTCTGTTCCGGGTCGCCATGTTATTCATAGTGGTCGTAATGTTAACTTCTCTGCTCTGGTCCGGGTTGTAATATTACGTCCGCCGAAGAAAAATAAATTTGTATGTGGTGCGTCTTCTGTATACTGTTTATTCTGTGGTAGTAGCTAAACAATTTTGTGGATTACGCTTGTATTTAGTATTGAAAGACAAACACTAACAATAACAAAGAGATTTAAGGATTTACAGCCAATGTAATAAATAATAATTAGAAACTTAAATAAATATTTTGACGCTTCCGTACATCTGGCAGGGCTGCCATTAGTATCACGTGTTGCGTTTTTGTATTCACGTTGCTGATTTCATGTACCTAATTTCATCTCTTCATAGAATTATCAAGATTTGTCTAAACATCCGTCGGTGAGTCCTCGGAAGTATTCTTTGTGCAAAATCCTTTTTACTAATTTCACCATTTTGAAAAGTGTTTTTGCCTCAATTCATCGATTTGTATGGCATTAGCTGTCACTTTTAATTGGTTACTGCATTGGCTACTTTAACCAAGATTTTTGTATGCAGTTGTCGGTGAGTCCGTGAAGTATTATTTGTGAAATTTTTTTTTACTAATTTCCCCATTTTAACATATTTTTTGCATAAAAATATCAGTTTGTGCGGCATTAACATGGTGTTTTGAAACTGTAGTTGGACCTTTCATCTAGAATGATACAGACACTTCTCAATCTGGGTGGTCTTCAGTATCTACGTTCCTGATTGCTTCTCTTTGTGTGAACTATTCTGTAGATTTAGTACAACACATTACTCTTATTAGCGTCAAAATCTTTATTTAACACCCGTGTAATCCGAATCTTCGTAGTTAAGAATTCGTAGTTCCGTTCCGAAAAGTCTGAAAATTGGTATGCGGTAATCCGATCGTAACTATCGACGGTACTGCAAGCTAAAAGCGTGAAATTCGAAGTTCTTAATCAGCAGGTTTGACAGAAACAAATCAAAATAAATATAATCGCAAGTTAATAGTGAATAGTGAAATTTAAAAATTGGTTTAGTCGTTATTTGAAAAGAATTTTCTTTAAGTAGAACACAATGGAATCAGTGGCCGGAGCACTTTTGTCTCAGGAAGAACATGCTGCAGCTAACAGTTGCATTAATTTACAAAGGAGATTGTTAGTAGTTGTGATCCCTTTCTTCTTTATTGGCGCTGTAACCGCCTAAGCGATTTTGGTCGAGTCCAAAGCAGCACGCCAGTCATTTCTCTTCTGTGCTAACTGACGCCAATTGGAAATGCCAAGTGAAGCCAAGTCCTTCTCCACCTGGTCCTTCCAACGCACACGAGGCCTTCCTCTGTTACCAGCATCGCGGCCCGCGTTGAATATTTTCAGAGCACGTGTGTTTCTGTCCATTCGAACGACATGGCCAAGCCAGAGGAGCCGCTGAATTTTAATTCGCTGCACTATGCCTATATCGTTGTAAAGCTCATACAGCTCATCGTTAAATCGTCTGCGATATTCGTCATCACGAACGCGTAAAGGTCCGTAAATCTTTCGCAGAATCTTTCTCTCGAAAACTCCAAAAGCCGCCACATCAGATGCTTGTGATCTTTGCACGACGAGAGAGGACTTTACTTCTCAATTGCCTACTCAGCCCAAAGTAGCACTAGTTGGCAAGAGTTATTCTCCGTTGGATTTCAAGGCTGACATTATTATTGGTATTAATGCCGGTTCCCAAAAAACGAAGTCGTCTACTTTTTCAAACTTGTAACTGTCAACAGTGACGTGAGTGCCAAGACGCGTAAGCTCTGACTGTTTGTGTGATGACAGTAGGTACTTCGTTTTGTCGTCGTTCACCACCAGACCCATTCGCTTTGCTCCTCTATCCAATAACGAGAAGGCAGAACAGACGCGGCTCTTATTTTTACCGATAATATCGATGTCCTCGGCATACGCCAGCAATTGTACGCTCTTGTAAAGTATTGTGTCAGATTATTAAAAATTATTAACCTTTCCATTTTTTATTTACCTAAATCACCTAATTTAGCCACCTAAATTAATTCTTAAAAATGCATGACATCCGTATTCGCATCACGAGCTCTGGCATTCCAACCTTGGCAACGACCAACGGGGCGTAGCTCTATCACAGCAAATTGATGGCTCCACCTTCTGTTGCTTGAAAGACGATGCCCCAACGAGACTCACAGGCACCACATGGCGAGCCATGATCTCGTTGTCCTCCGACCACCTTCCCGTCATACTATCCATTGACCGCCTGAACGATTTTGTAGTCTCCGAGCGCCGTACATATGTCAACATCAAAAAGTCCAACTGGAACGGCTTCAGAGACTACGTGAAAACTCTCTTAGGTGCCCTACCAACTCCACCTGATGCTCGAACAGCCGAGCGCAAATTCCGCACGGTCTTAAACGTGGCAGCTGCCCGCTTCATCCCAGCCGGACGTATACCGGAGATTTGACCAGGCTTTCCGGCCGAAGCGGCAAGACCCGCTGACGTCCGAGACCGAACCAGGCGAACCAATCCCGACGATGCTAGCATCAATGATCTTAGCGCTGAGATCAAGCGCCTCGTAAACAACCCCATGCGGAACAAATGGTTGGAGCACCTCAAATCATGCAACCCTCAAGAGGGCGTAAGCAAGCTGTGGACTACAGTAAAGTCCCCCTCGAAACCGACGAAGTATAATGACCAAACAGCCGTCAAATTCGGCAACGAAATTCACACCGACTCCAAGAAGTGCGCGCGTGAATTTTGCCGACAGTTTATTGTACACCCTGCGAGGAGCATAACCCAACGCAGCATACTCCGCAAAGCTCACAACATCCGAGCAACTGACACACCACCAACATTCACGCCCAACGAAGTACAAGGCGCGATTCACAAGGCCAAGGCATCGAAATAAGTCGCCCAGATGGCATTTCCATGCTGATGCTAAAGCAATTGGATGCCCCGGGAGTCGAAAACCTCACAAAACTTTAAAACGCCTCTCTAGCCACACACACCATCCCAGAGATATGGAAAAACGGGAGAGTAGTCCCCCTGCAAAAACCTGGGAAGAACGCAGAGTTAGGTAAATCCTACAGGCCGATCACACTCTTCTCTCCGGGGACCAAAACCCCAGAAGCGCAACTCCTCCCGCAACCGACTCAACGCCTGCATCTTTCCTCACATTAGCACGGACTCAGGAAGCTACACAGCACCACGACTGCACTAAACACCGTCACAGCGCAAATAACTGACGGTTTAAACCAAAAGCGCTATTGCGCCCGCCCCATCTTAGTGGTACTTGACCTATCAAAGGCCTTCGAAACCGTCAATCATACAACACTTATAGAGGACATTATCTCGTCCTCCCTACCGCCGCACACAAAACGTTGGATTGTCAGTTACCTCTGCGGGAGGCAGTCATCTGTTGTATTCAGAAACAAAACATCAAAGCCGCTTAGGATTAAGCAAGGTGTACCACAAGGTGGGGTACTATCACCGATCCTGTTTAACCTATATCTAGCGAAACGCCCTCCTCCACCTCAGGGAGTCTCCTTAGTCTCATACGCGGATGACTGTTCCATCATGGCAAAAGGCAACAATATCGACAGCATGTGCACACAGCTCAACCGCTACCTCGAGGAGGTCTCCGAATTTTTCACAGCGTGCAGCTTACAAATCTCGGCCGCTAAGTCAACAGCTACACTCTTCACAACGTGGACAAAAGAGGAGAGCCTCGAACTGAACGTGTTTATTGGCGGAGTCAAGATTCCGACGGTCAACCATCCAAAGATACTACGCGTCACGTTCGACAGCCTCATGTCCTCAGCACACACCACCACTGTT